CGGAAAGACACAGCCCTGGTAGGTGTGGCCAGAGCCTTCCCCTGTCACTCCAGTCGTGATAGAATCATGCCCAGCTGGACCCTCTTGCCTGTCACAGGCTCAGAATTCACTGGCACTGGGAGCCCCAGGGCAGCTCCCAGCTAAGGAGGGAAATGGCCACAGCAACCCCCAGGCCCCCAGGTGGAGCTCTCCAAAGACCCAGAGCTCCTCTAGCCCAACACCATTTCCCAAAACCGGGGACGGAGACCAGAGACCAACCAACCAGTTGCTGCACGACGCTCTATCTATCTCTACAGGACAGGAGAGATCCCAGCCTTGGAGACCCTGGTCAGTAAAGACCATTCATCACACCCGACGGACACCTGCTCTGTCCACCAACAGCAGTGCCAATTCTGAACAGACCATCTCCCAGGGGACACACTGCATTGACACCAAGAGCATTTAATCAGAGGACGTCTCACCAAGTCCCACCACCAGATCTGCTCACTGCCCAGGGCAGCTCTGCCAAAGGACCCACCAAGGGGCTTTCTCCTTGGTGGCTTTGGGCAGGGGAGGAACAAAGAAAGGTAGAGGAGGGGTCTCTGAGCCTGGACACCTGACACTGTGGCTGGCTCCCTGGTGGGACCGCCAGAGCATGCCCGCCCAGGCGGAGCTCACAGCCGACACCCAGCCCCTCAACCTGTACTTCCTGCTCCAAAAACACAGCACTTCCTGCACATGCCCAGAAGAACCAAGTCCACCACCATCTCCCTGCCCGCAGCACACAGGCCCTCAGTCTTCCTGTCCCCCAGGCTGGCTGGCCCTTCCTCTGGGCCTCCCGGGTGCCCAGCCGGGCAGCATAGCAACTGTGGGAGTGCTCCAGCCTGGCCTGGGGGATGGTCCTCACCTGGGATGTTCTACACCTCCACAGAGCAGGGCCTTGGGGTCCTGCCGCTGCTCTGTGCCCAGCACCTACCAAGGGCATGCCCGGCCTTCCCCTCAGGGCACAGACAGAAAGGAGTCTCCATGCTGCCCTCCAGGGCGTGGCTCTGCAGGGGGGAGGGCTGTCCCCAGCACATGTACCAGTGGATGTCATGAGAAAGGCAGGGCAGGGGCTGGGGCAGGTCCCAGGAGCAGGTGCCCCCTAGGGACAGGGGCTCAAGGACATCATTCTATCTCGGTTCCTTTCCAAGAAATTCTTTTGAGCACCAGCTCTGTGCCAGTTGGCTGGTATGGGAGACGAATAGGAAGATAATCTGAGATGAATGGCTTCAGGCCACCAATCCTTTCCCTCCCCAAGCCCTGGGCTCTGCACACCATGCCTGTCAGCTCCTGGGCAGCCTTGAGGCCTTCAGGCCACACCCCGTCTCAAGGAGTTAAGCCTCTCCAGAGCCACAGAAGCCCTGGCTTCCTTGGTGAGGTTCCTGGTCCAGGGAAACTAAGAAATGTTAAGATGGGTCTAAATTAAGCATTCCTCTTCAGGTTTCTGCTTAATAAACGAATATTTTAACCCTGCAACCCCCATGCTCGTGGGGCCTGCTCAGGGCTACACACAGACTTGCAGCCAGGGGCAAGGGTCCACAATGCAGTCCAGAGATGCTGGGTGACTGAAACTGCCTTCAAAAGCCACCATGTGACCCCTGACCTTCACAGAGGCTGGGCCACATGGGCCCCCAGGCACCCTAGGACCACACCTGGGTTGTCGGCAGCTCAAAGTCCAAGACCCAGCAGTGAGCAAGACCAGGTGTGGTTCTGACATGGGTGAGCCTGGGTCCCGGGGGCTGCCTCCCTCTGCTCACCCCACACCTGAGCCCCCGATCAGCTCCCTCAGCCCCGGGGATCCCGAGTAGCAGGAATCACAGGGCCGAAGGAGCTGCGGCATTAACTGGCCACACCACACTGAGCGTCGGCTAGAACTGGCGCCCAACAACCATGAGGGCATGCGCCACGTCATGCCAGCCCAGCCAGCCACTTTGAGATGCGTCTGTGGGACTTTCCCTGCAGCCCCACTGTGCACCAGGGCTCTGGCCACACCTGGGAAACCTCCCTGCGGATGAGGCTCCTAAAACGCAGGTGAGCAGCTGTAAGAGCCCCGAGAAAGCCGGGCTCAGAGGCCTGGCGCTCCTGGCTGTCCCTCACCAGAACCCAAGATGCACCCCCCTGGGCACTGACACAAAGCCAAGGTCACTTCCACATTGGTAAAGGGTAGCCTATGGTAGAGAAGGTGAGAGGGGCAGGAGTGGGGTATAGGGAAGAGAGGTTGGGGGAAAAGAGAGAGCGCGGGGACCCTGCAGCCACCACGCTGGGTGAGGCCTGTGGTCCAGCCTCCACCCTGGAAGGCTCCAGTGTCCACAGCAGAAACAGGCTCCTCACCACAAAGCAGAGCAGCCCAGGCTGGTGGTCATCCCCCACACCGTAAGGACAACACACAGCTTTCCACGTGGGTGGGAAGAGCTACAGGGGAGAGAAGCCATGGATTGTCCCAATCGGAGGGGGCCAGCGGGTACAGGGTGGCTTCTGGAAGTTGTCATCATCTGCTCTGGATGAGAGAAATCAGAACAGTGTAGCCGGGCCACGTGGCTGTCCCAAGCCTTCTCACAGACAGGGAGCATGGTACCAAACCCACGGTCCACTGGAACAGGGCTCACCGGCACCGCGGAGACTTGTGACCCAACACGAGCCTGTGGGATTCTTACAGGTCCAGGCCACCTGTGCGCCTGGCGCTTGCTGAACAGCCCCCACCAAGGCTGACCGCCCGAGAGACCCCTCAGAGATGCTCCAGTAGCCACAGGGTCACATGCTGGCCCACAGCTCCTGCAGCAGTGCACCCTGGGAACTTGCCTGAGGCAGGTCCAAGCCCTCCCTGGACCTCTGAGTGCCAGGCCCCGGAGGACGCAGCCCTCTTCAAGTCCATGGGCCGTGCACAAGGACATCACTGGGAGCTGATGCCCCCAAGGTGCAGGGAGTTGCTGCTCTAAGGAGGACGAGGGCCCCTGCCTCGCTGGTGCAGGGTGAGAAGGAAACAGGAAGCTGGGCAGCAGCACCTGCTTTGGACCTTCCCCTTCCCCAAGCGCAGCCGTCCTCTCACAGGCCACCACCATGCACAGAGCAAGATAAATAAGGCTGGGAAGGCCTGTGAATCGCCTCGCTGCTCCTTTTAAGTGGCTGGGTGCTCTCAGCTCTGCACACTGACCTCACCTGGGGAGCTTTCTAAGTTCCCCAGGGCCCTGGACTCTGGTTGGGGCTCCCCACGGGCGGGCGGGCTTGCCGGGCTAGAGCGGAGCCCCCTGCTCTTTGCAGACAGGGTGGGTCAGGAGGCATAGCCACCTGCAGCTCTCTGGCTTCCTGCTTCAGGCACGTTGACAACACCAACCCCTCCTGACCCAGATCACCCCCGTCAGGGACAAGGGTGGGCATCAGCTACTTCCCAGGAGTAGCCTGGAAAGGCTTTGCACTGTGTCCTGGGAACCATATGGCCAGCCAGCCGCCTGCAGCCCGGGGCCATCCCAGCCACTCCACTGCAGGCGGGGAGCCTGCCTGCTGTCACACCACACCCCACGGAGCTACTGCACCCGAGCTCAGACTCCCACCCAGAGCCATTCAACCGTCCAAGACACCAAACCACACAACCAGGTCCCAGCAGCCAGCAGGGGCAGAAGCAAGGTCCAGGGTCCCCGGCAAGCAGGGCTGGGGGAGGCAGTTATTATCAGAGGGTCCCCCCACCCCAGGTTGACCTGCTTCACACAGAGTCCGTTTAAGATGCTCCCTCCTCTCAGCATCTGGCCACCCCAGCTCAGAAGTGGACAGAAGGAGGAAGTTGCTCTAGACCTGACCACAGAGGCCAGGACTGGACACCAGCCTCCCTCCAGGGGTCATCTGTGACATTTATCCTTCACTTACTTGGTGGGGGTGGGGCGGCTCTAATGAACAGTTTCCTCCACAAGGAGGCCACAGCCAGGCTGGACCCTAGGACCTTTGCTCCCTCTTCCCCAAACCCCTTCCCTCCCCTCCGAGCTCTCCCTGTGTCCTGAGAACCCACAGACCATCAGGGTGCTGGGGGAGACCCCTGCTCCATCCTCAGTCCTCAGGAACCTGCAGTGGACCCTGTCTGCCCTCGGCCCAGAGTCCAGGTGGCCTGGTAAAGCAGGCCCCTCCGCCCTCCCACGCTCCCTCCTCCTTCCCTCCTCCCAGCCCCTTACGGGAGCCCACCAACTCCAGGGACATGCAGGGGGTCTCCCTGGGGATAGGACTGAGCCTACTTCTGGAGGCCACAGGCACTGGCCACCCGGCCAGGTTCTGCCCAAACCTAACTTCCTGGGTCGTTCCATGAACACTGCATTGCCAGGTGGGGACAAGGATTGCAAGGGAACAGCCTGCGTGCACACCAGCACACGCGTGCACACAGCACACGCTGCGCACACACACCTTCTGCCTGCCAGGGAATCTCTGTTGTGACAGACAAATCATTCAAGTCTGACGTGGGATGTGAACTGGCAAATTTGCAGTGTGCGGTTCCACCTGAGCCGAGCTGCGGAGCACAGCCAGCCCTGCCGACCTGTCCTGCATCCCCTCCCGGCTCTGGCCTAAGGAGACTGGGTCCTACCCACCCGAGAGGCCACTGTGTGCAACAGCAGGACACCCTGATGGCCCTCTCCCCAGGGCGGCATCAAACTTTGCCTGGAGGGGCTTTTATGAAAAGCTGGGGTGGAGGGGACGCTTGAGCCACAGCGCCACCATCGCCAACACCCTGCGCTGAGCCTGTCAGCCCTTCCCTTTGGAAATGGTTCCATCAGGTCCAGACAGTGGGGAGAGACCGAGCGGCCCGGCCAAAGCCCTGCACCAGGCAGCCCGCTGCCAGCACCCAGTGCTGAAGGGCACCCTCCAACCGCCAACCGCTACAAAATAAACTTAGTCTGGGCAAAGAGTTTCCAGCTATGCCCCTGCCACTAGCTCGCATACGGAAAGACGAGGGGACACGGGAGGCTATTTTTAGGAGGGAAAAAAAATAAATCTCAGCCTACCTTAGAGGCCAGCGGTGCCAAGCCCCGGAGGTTCTCCGTGGAGACGACTGCAGTGCACTGTGTCAGATTACAAACTGGGGACGAGGGAGGAGGAGGAGGAGGGGACAGAGGCAGGCTGAGGCGGCACCCAGGCAGCGTCACAGGGCATCCGTGTGTCCACACCGCTGGGACTCAGCTAGAATGATTCATTAGCTTTCCGCAGACAGGTTGAGAGAGAGGGAGGGAGGGAGAGCGAGAGGGAGGGAGAGGGAGGGAAAGGGGGGACGGCCTCGGCCATGCACACGGCAGGAGCCAGTGTTTTCATACACACACACACTCACGCACACACGCACATGCACGCCCCAAGATGGCTCTGTCCCCTCACTGTCTGCCGGAGTCTTTTTCACAGAGCTGTGGTCAAAGGCTGGTTCAGAAATGGAGGCTGGCAAGCACCCGCCCGGCAGGCTTTGGGGCTGGAGCATCCGCCTGGCCTGCGCAGCGCAAGGTCCCCCCCTGCAGGTCGCCGGGGCCCCTGCGTCCAGGCGCAGGCCCGCTGCCTCTGCCCTGTGTGCGTAGGAGTTCACAGGAGCTGCCAAAGGGAAGCGTTGGCGGGGAGCCCCCCAGGCTGCTGGGGCAGACCCGCCTCCCCACCCTAGGCTGCCCATCTCCCTGAACAGTCCGACTCCCGTGGCTGCCAGATCCAGATGCACCAGCTACCTAGCAACGGAGGCGCAGGAGAGACCTGTGTGTGCGTGTGTGCGCACACACACACACACATACACACACACAAACACGCGCTCACTTCCCGGGTGGGCCTCCTCCACTGGTTATTTAAAGATGCCAAGTGACTTGGCTCCTCAAAGGGAAGCCGCTTGAGTTGGGTCGCACCCTGGTTCAGCGCTGTGGGAGCCTCCCAGTGACAGCAGAAGACACCAGAGAAATGACCACGAATTGCAAGGAAAAGCATGCATGTGTTTCCTGCTGGTCCTGCACATTGAAGGCAGGACTTCTGAGGTGCCTTCTATTGCTTCTCCCACCAACAGGCCCATTCAATGGCCGGAAGCTCAGTGGGCACATTGCTCAAACCCAGCACCCTCCAGCCACAGTGACCTCAGGCTAACAGGCCAGAGGGACCCCCCCTCCCAAGGTGACAGCCCCTGCCATGGAAAATGGGTCCCGCCAACATTTTCCCAACCAGGACTCTTTTTTGTGTGTCCTGAAGACGTCCCTGAATGAGGTACCTGGGCATTTGCCTGCTTGGGCCTCTTCCCAGGGCCCTGTGGGCTGGGTGCCCGGTGCAGAGCTCCAGGCCGGTGTCTGGTCAGGAGCAGATGCTGCGGTCCACGGCTGAGGCCCTCAGGGTGGGCACTGAGACCCTGTGAAGCCCTGGAGGAGGCAGTGGGTGCCACCCACACTCCCAGCAGCGCCCCCTGCAGGAGCAAGAGGAGACAGCCCAGACGGCCATGACTGACCAGCCAACGGACCAGCAGCTCAGCACCACGAGGTGTATCCACAGGCTGGAGCCGCATGGAACCTGGCAAGCTATGAAGCTCTGCACTATGGATGACCCTTAAAACCACTGCTGGGTGACAGGACCAGACCCAGAAGGCCTTGTCCACATGATTCTGTTTCCATGAAGTGCCCAGAACAGTCACCTCCAGGACTGGGCAGAGACCGCTGCTTACGGGTCGGGGGGTCATTCTGGGTGGTGAGATGACCTGGAATCAAACAGGGCTGGGGCTGCACAGCACTGCACGCGACAAAGGCCACTGAGTGTCCCCTGTAAGTGGCCAATGTCATATCATGGGAAGTGGGGTCACAGTGACCCTGAGCCTGACCCGACCCCACCTATGTGACCTTGAAGAAGACAGCCTTCCTCTCTTGCTACAAAAATGTCCTGTTTATATTGTCACAATGATTCCTCAGGATTCTTGACAGATGAAACACTTGGCAGGAACTAAAGCGGCCCCTTCAGAGAGGACTCTGAAGTTGGCTTTGTCCCCGCACTTTCTCAGCAGGGAGGAAACGGGCTTCTGAAGCAGTCCCGTAGGTCACGGAGACCCCACATCCAAGATTCTGGAACAATAACTGCAGAGGTGCCACCCACTCACATCAGTCAGGGGTGCTTGCCCACCCCTCCGTGTGAGCGGGGCCATTTCATGGACTGGACAACCGAAGCCCAGGGTTGACCGTAGCAGCCAGAATCCACACAGTCAAATGAAGACCCTGTTCTTGGTGTGTCCCCACCTCACAATGAGCAGGATGTGTGTAAACACTGGACACTAAAGACCAGAGCCTTTCGTGCCGTGGGTGCCCATGAAGCTCCGGGCTCCGTGAAGGGTCAAGACGGGCTCTGCACCTGCTCTTTAAAGTCCTGAAACGTGAGCTGCGTGGCGGGAACCAGCTCCTGCGAGAAACAGGAGCCCAGGGCCCAGGATGCCTGTCACAGGCACCCACAGCTCCTGACCCAAAAACCGGGCATTGCCACCCACGGCCATGGGCTGCCAGAGCTATGGCAAGCCACACGCCCTTCACTTCTCCCTTCTGGTGCAATGAACTGGCCAGCGGCAAGGAAGCAGGGACAAGAGCCATGCAGCTTTCCTGCCCTCCTTGTGGCTGAGGCACAGCGGGCATTTTCTACTTGGAACCGCTGCCCACCAAAGTGCCAGGCATTCTGGTGGCCATGCCGTTCTGAGGGCTCAGCATTGAACGGCGTCCACCACTGCAGGGTGGCTAGTGACAGGTCTCTGTTGACACGGAACACCAGAGCCTCTGCAGCCCAGCTGTCAAGAGCACGGGCAGTTTCCTCTCCGGCCGGTGTCACAGCCAGCCTCCGAGTATGGCCACTTGAGTCTCATCAGGCAGCACTGGGAAGGTGGGCACTCGCACGAGGTTGCACTGTGCTGGGCCTTTCTCTTGGAAAAATCTACCCAATGGTCTGTTTGTGAGGGGGGGCAGTAGAGAACAGGCCGCGTGGGAGATGAGGCTATGGTCACTTGAAGTCCCAGGGAAGAGGGGGGGAAGCAGTCACTAACAAGAATTGGATAGGAATGGATGGGACAGGATGGGGAGGGAAGAGGGGGATGGGGTGGGGTGGGGTGGGTGGCATGGGATGGATGGGGTTGGATGGGATGGGGTGGGGTGGGGTGAGATGGGGGGTGCAATGGGAGTGGATAAGATAGGGTGGGGTGGGTGGGATGTGGGGTAGGGTAGATGGGTATGAATGGGGTTGGATGGGATGGGGTGGTGGGGTGGGAAGGGACAGATTAGATGGAGTTGGTGGGATGGGATGGATGGAGTACGTGGGTGGGTGGGTGGCACCGGGTGGGAATTCTGGTAAGTCCACCTGGTTCTAGTGCCACCAGGAGACCCAGGTAGCCCTGGGGTGGCTCATGCTCATGTTTGCTGCACTGTTGAGGCTTCTGCGGAGTCTTCTGCAGAGACACCTCCCTCCAGTGTCCATGGAGGTGACTGGAGCACTGTCCACCCAACAGCTGTGTCTCCACACATCTCAGGGCACCTCCCTCCCCTGGCACTCAGGCTGTGGTGCTGGCACCATACGTGGTGGTGTGTCTGTGGGTCACATCGGGTCACGAGATGACTTAGTTCACAGAGCAGAGGGAGTTTAGAGGAAGCCACCCGTGCCAAGACGGCTGGTAACAGTTTACACCCAGGAGCAACGAGGATTCAGCCAAACTTACCCCACTAAATCCCCAACTCCACTTCCTCTTAGCCAGGTCCCCCCAAAATGTCCACAGCCTCTTGGGCACACTAGCATCAGGGAAAGTCTCAGTGGAAAAACACAACAGTCTTAAGTGATTCAGTTCAAATAATTTTTTGTGAGTAAATTTTGTGGACATAATTCTAGGGCCCTTTCCAGGGTCTTGTGAGGGTTTATACAAGTGAGGGTCTCTGAAACTGACACCTCATTGGCTTCATGATAAACCTGCCTCTTGATGAGGTAAGGATTGCATTGCTTAATATATAAAGAGCTCTTACAAATCACTAAGAAAAGGCCAGCAATCCAATAGAAAACTTGGCAAAGATTTTGATACATAGTTTAGCACCCCCAATTTTAAAAAGGCCTATTGCTATATTACAAACTCTAAAATGTACTAAGTGGAAAAAAAAAGACTTTATCTTGATTTTCTGATGGCAATCAAGCCAGAATTCCCACCCACTCCATCCAGCTCATCCTACCCTATCCATCCCCAGCTGGTCATTTGTACTGGTATATGAAGGGGGTACCTGTGGCTGTTTCAGGGAGCTGACCACAATCAGAGCAGTGGCCACCTCTTGAGAGAGAGATGAGTCTTGGAAGCAGGAGAGCGAAAGACCCTGCTAATTATCAAACCCTGCTCTTTCTGAGACCCATTGAACTGTGAGCCTAAAAGGGGAATGAAACTGCATTAAAGTCAGATCTTACAGACACTGAGACATCCTTCCTGGATGCGCACCAGGCGTTGACTACACACACCCACACACCCCACCCCGGCAGGACATCAGCAGCCAGCTTTTCATCTCTGTAACCAAAATACCAACAAAAACAACTTAGAGGGGCTGGGCTGGGGCTTCGGGGCACAGCGCCTGCCTCCCACGTGTGAGGCTCGGGGTTCGACCCTCAGCACCACATAAAAATAAAACAATGAAGATATTGTGTCCACCTACAACTAAAAAAAAAAAAATATTAAACAACAACTACTTAGAGAGGAAACGCCCACTGGGGCCACAGGGTCAGAGGTCTCAGTCCAGAGACGGCTGACTCCAGTGCTCTGGGCCCAGATGAGGCTCAACATCATGGTGGAAGAGTCAGGGGAGGGAAGCTGCTCAGCTCATGGTGGGATCACGGAGCAGAGAGAGGGAGACAGAAGGGGCCAGAGAGAAGATGACCCCTCCAGGGCAGCCCGCCCCACCTGCCCAGGAGACCCAGGTAACCCTGGGGTGGCCAGTCCACTCAAGCTCACCACCGGGCCAGTCAACTCAAGCTTGCTGGCCCCATGAGGCTGTAGCTCTCCCAGCACAATCACCTCCCCTCAGAGCATTCCTGCGTTGTGGGGGGCCACTCTGAATGACCCCGCCTTCCAGTCCTGAAGCAAGGGGCTCTGACCAGTCACTACATATTGCGGTGACTTGGGTGTTGTCCCAGCCTGGGAAGTCGAAGGCATGTCTTCAGGTGTAGGCGTGTCACCTGTGGGGATGAGCTACACTCATCTGTTCCTTTGTAATCCCACCTCTCTGCCCTGTTTGGGATAGACTGTTCCATAGAATCGCCCTCTGTGTGTCCCCTTCTCTTGCTCTGCCCTTGGGTGTGGCCTTCCTAGATGTCAGTCAACCTGCCGACAGTGGACATCAAGAAGCTAGACTCAGTCCCCTGAAACCTGACCCCTTGCCTCATTTGAATGGCTTCTCCCCAATAAAAGGGGACAGCAGTGCTC